ATGGGAGGCGAGAATGGGGAGGCGAGAAGGGGAGGCGAGAATGGGAGGGCGAGAATGGGAGGCGGAGAATGGGAGGCGAGAATGGGAGGCGAGAATGGGAGGCGAGAATGGGAGGCGAGAATGGGAGGCGAGAATGGGAGGCGAGAATGGGAGGCGAGAATGGGAGGCGAGAATGGGAGGCGAGAATGGGAGGCGAGAATGGGAGGCGGAATGAGGCGAGAAGGGAGGCGAGAATGGGAGGCGAGAATGGGAGGCGAGACACGAATGGGAGGCGAGAATGGGAGGCGAGAATGGGCGGCGAGAATGGGAGGCGAGAATGGGAGGCGAGATGGAGGCAGAGAATGGGAGGCGAGAATGGGAGCGAGATGAATGGGAGGCGAGAATGGGAGGCACGAGAATGGGAGAGGCGAGAATGGGAGGCGAGAATGGGAGGCGAGAATGGGAGGCGAGAATGGGAGGCGAGAATGGGAGGCGAGAATGGGAGGCGAGAATGGGAGGCGAGAATGGGAGGCGAGAATGGGAGGCGAGAATGGGAGGCGAGAATGGGAGGCGAGAATGGGAGGCGAGAATGGGAGGCGAGAATGGGAGGCGAGAATGGGAGGCGAGAATGGGAGGCGAGAATGGGAGGCGAGAATGGGAGGCGAGAATGGGAGGCGAGAATGGGAGGCGAGAATGGGAGGCGAGAATGGGAGGCGAGAATGGGAGGCGAGAATGGGAGGCGAGAATGGGAGGCGAGAATGGGAGGCGAGAATGGGAGGCGAGAATGGGAGGCGAGAATGGGAGGCGAGAATGGGAGGCGAGAATGGGAGGCGAGAATGGGAGGCGAGAATGGGAGGCGAGAATGGGAGGCGAGAATGGGAGGCGAGAATGGGAGGCGAGAATGGGAGGCGAGAATGGGAGGCGAGAATGGGAGGCGAGAATGGGAGGCGAGATGGGAATGGGAGGCGAGAATGGGAGGCGAGAATGGGAGGCGAGAATGGGAGGCGAGAATGGGAGGCGAGAATGGGAGGCGAGAATGGGAGGCGAGAATGGGAGGCGAGAATGGGAGGCGAGAATGGGAGGCGAGAATGGGAGGCGAGAATGGGAGGCGAGAATGGGAGGCGAGAATGGGAGGCGAGAATGGGAGGCGAGAATGGGAGGCGAGAATGGGAGGCGAGAATGGGAGGCGAGAATGGGAGGCGAGAATGGGAGGCGAGAATGGGAGGCGAGAATGGGAGGCGAGAATGGGAGGCGAGAATGGGAGGCGAGAATGGGAGGCGAGAATGGGAGGCGAGAATGGGAGGCGAGAATGGGAGGCGAGAATGGGAGGCGAGAATGGGAGGCGAGAATGGGAGGCGAGAATGGGAGGCGAGAATGGGAGGCGAGAATGGGAGGCGAGAATGGGAGGCGAGAATGGGAGGCGAGAATGGGAGGCGAGAATGGGAGGCGAGAATGGGAGGCGAGAATGGGAGGCGAGGAGGGAGGCGAGAATGGGAGGCGAGAATGGGAGGCGAGAATGGGAGGCGAGAATGGGAGGCGAGAATGGGAGGCGAGAATGGGAGGCGAGAATGGGAGGCGAGAATGGGAGGCGAGAATGGGAGGCGAGAATGGGAGGCGAGAATGGGAGGCGAGAATGGGAGGCGAGAATGGGAGGCGAGAATGGGAGGCGAGAATGGGAGGCGAGAATGGGAGGCGAGAATGGGAGGCGAGAATGGGAGGCGAGAATGGGAGGCGAGAATGGGAGGCGAGAATGGGAGGCGAGAATGGGAGGCGAGAATGGGAGGCGAGAATGGGAGGCGAGAATGGGAGGCGAGAATGGGAGGCGAGAATGGGAGGCGAGAATGGGAGGCGAGAATGGGAGGCGAGAATGGGAGGCGAGAATGGGAGGCGAGAATGGGGAGGCGAGAATGGGAGGCGAGAATGGGAGGCGAGAATGGGAGGCGAGAATGCGGAGGCGAGAATGGGAGGCGAGAATGGGAGGCGAGAATGGGAGGCGAGAATGGGAGGCGAGAATGGGAGGCGAGAATGGGAGGCGAGAATGGGAGGCGAGAATGGGAGGCGAGAATGGGAGGCGAGAATGGGAGGCGAGAATGGGAGGCGAGAATGGGAGGCGAGAATGGGAGGCGAGAATGGGAGGCGAGAATGGGAGGCGAGAATGGGAGGCGAGAATGGGAGGCGAGAATGGGAGGCGAGAATGGGAGGCGAGAATGGGAGGCGAGAATGGGAGGCGAGAATGGGAGGCGAGAATGGGAGGCGAGAATGGGAGGCGAGAATGGGAGGCGAGAATGGGAGGCGAGAATGGGAGGCGAGAATGGGAGGCGAGAATGGGAGGCGAGAATGGGAGGCGAGAATGGGAGGCGAGAATGGGAGGCGAGAATGGGAGGCGAGAATGGGAGGCGAGAATGGGAGGCGAGAATGGGAGGCGAGAATGGGAGGCGAGAATGGGAGGCGAGAATGGGAGGCGAGAATGGGAGGCGAGAATGGGAGGCGAGAATGGGAGGCGAGAATGGGAGGCGAGAATGGGAGGCGAGAATGGGAGGCGAGAATGGGAGGCGAGAATGGGAGGCGAGAATGGGAGGCGAGAATGGGAGGCGAGAATGGGAGGCGAGAATGGGCGGCGAGAATGGGAGGCGAGAATGGGAGGCGAGAATGGGAGGCGAGAATGGGAGGCGAGAATGGGAGGCGAGAATGGGAGGCGAGAATGGGAGGCGAGAATGGGAGGCGAGAATGGGAGGCGAGAATGGGAGGCGAGAATGGGAGGCGAGAATGGGAGGCGAGAATGGGAGGCGAGAATGGGAGGCGAGAATGGGAGGCGAGAATGGGAGGCGAGAATGGGAGGCGAGAATGGGAGGCGAGAATGGGAGGCGAGAATGGGAGGCGAGAATGGGAGGCGAGAATGGGAGGCGAGAATGGGAGGCGAGAATGGGAGGCGAGAATGGGAGGCGAGAATGGGAGGCGAGAATGGGAGGCGAGAATGGGAGGCGAGAATGGGAGGCGAGAATGGGAGGCGAGAATGGGAGGCGAGAATGGGAGGCGAGAATGGGAGGCGAGAATGGAGGCGAGAATGGGAGGCGAGAATGGGAGGCGAGAATGGGAGGCGAGAATGGGAGGCGAGAATGGGAGGCGAGAATGGGAGGCGAGAATGGGAGGCGAGAATGGGAGGCGAGAATGGGAGGCGAGAATGGGAGGCGAGAATGGGAGGCGAGAATGGGAGGCGAGAATGGGAGGCGAGAATGGGAGGCGAGAATGGGAGGCGAGAATGGGAGGCGAGAATGGGAGGCGAGAATGGGAGGCGAGAATGGGAGGCGAGAATGGGAGGCGAGAATGGGAGGCGAGAATGGGAGGCGAGAATGGGAGGCGAGAATGGGAGGCGAGAATGGGGAGGCGAGAATGGGAGGCGAGAATGGGCGGCGAGAATGGAGGCGAGAATGGGAGGCGAGAATGGGAGGCGAGAATGGGAGGCGAGAATGGGAGGCGAGAATGGGAGGCGAGAATGGGGAGGCGAGAATGGGAGGCGAGAATGGGAGGCGAGAATGGGAGGCGAGAATGGGAGGCGAGAATGGGAGGCGAGAATGGAGGCGAGAATGGGAGGCGAGAATGGGAGGCGAGAATGGGAGGCGAGAATGGGAGGCGAGAATGGGAGGCGAGAATGGGAGGCGAGAATGGGAGGCGAGAATGGGAGGCGAGAATGGGAGGCGGAATGGGAGGCGAGAATGGGAGGCGAGAATGGGAGGCGAGAATGGGAGGCGAGAATGGGAGGCGAGAATGGGAGGCGAGAATGGGAGGCGAGAATGGGAGCGAGAATGGGAGGCCGAGAATGGGAGGCGAGAATGGGAGGCGAGAATGGGAAGGCGAGAATGGGAGGCGAGAATGGGAGGCGAGAATGGGAGGCGAGAATGGGAGGCGAGAATGGGAGGCGAGAATGGGAGGCGAGAATGGGAGGCGAGAATGGGAGGCGAGAGGGAGGCGAGAATGGGAGGCGGAATGGGAGGCGAGAATGGGAGGCTGAGTAATGGGAGGCGAGAATGGGAGGCGAGAAGGGACGGCGAGAATGGGAGGCGAGAATGGGAGGCGAGAATGGGAGGCGAGAATGGGAGGCGAGAAATGGAGCGAGAATGGGAGGCGAGAATGGGAGGCGAGAATGGGAGGCGAGAATGGGAGGCGAGAATGGGAGGCGAGAATGGGAGGCGAGAATGGAGGCGAGAATGGGAGGCGAGAATGGGAGGCGAGAATGGGAGGCGAGAATGGGAGGCGAGAATGGGAGGCGAGAATGGGAGGCGAGAATGGGAGGCGAGAATGGGAGGCGTAGAATGGGAGGCGAGAATGGGAGGCGAGAATGGGAGGCGAGAATGGGAGGCGAGAATGGGAGGCGAGAATGGGAGGCGAGAATGGGAGGCGAAGGGCGAATGGGAGGCGAGAATGGGAGGCGAGAATGGGAGGCGAGAATGGGAGGCGAGAATGGGAGGCGATGAATGGGAGGCGAGAATGGGAGGCGAGAAATGGGAGGCGAGAATGGGAGGCGAGAATGGGAGGCGAGAATGGGAGGCGAGAATGGGAGGCGAGAAATGGGAGGCGAGAATGGGAGGCGAGAATGGGAGGCGAGAATGGGAGGCGAGAATGGGAGGCGAGAATGGGAGGCGAGAATGGGAGGCGAGAATGGGAGGCGAGAATGGGAGGCGAGAATGGGAGGCGAGAATGGGAGGCGAGAATGGGAGGCGTGAATGGGAGGCGAGAATGGGAGGCGAGAATGGGAGGCGAGAATGGGAGGCGAGAATGGGCGGCGAGAATGGGAGGCGAGAATGGGAGGCGAGAATGGGAGGCGAGAATGGGAGGCGAGAATGGGAGGCGAGAATGGGAGGCGAGAATGGGAGGCGAGAATGGGACAGCATGCATGACGGGCAGCACGCAGGGCACAAGCAGGACTAGGGCTTTTGCCCGTGGCAGGAGATTGAGTTGCCATGCCCAATTTATGCCCATGCCCATGCCCGTGCCCATGCCCATGCCTGTGCTCTTCAATGCAGGGTATCGTCTGCTCCCAGCCATTGCCCAAAGGGGCGGTGCTTCAGATCGCCGGCACTCCGGCCATCCCCTGCACGGGATTCTTCTACACCCTCGATGTGAGACCTCAGTTCCCAGCCCGATATCAGCACCCATCTCCCTGCACAAAGTGTGTTTCAAGTAGTGGGGGATGAGCTTTTTTCTCAAAAGTTCCCAGCCATGCACTTGTTCTTTCTTTTGCCTTATCGAGGTATGGAGCGGAAGCTGGTCTCTCCATGCAGCCTCGCTGCCTTGTTTTCCAGCTGCTCACATCAGCTGCTCACATCAGCTGCTCACATCAGCTGCTCGCATCAGCTGCTCACATCAGCTGCTCGCATCAGCTGCTCACATCAGCATTGCACATGCGTCTCATGCTTCTATCATCACCACGAACTCACTACTGAAGAGAAGCCTTACACCACATCCCGCCCTCTCCTACCATCTCTCTCCATCTCCTACCATCTCTCTCCATCTCCCACCATCTCACACCCTATCTCATCTCTTCTCTGCCTGTCTCCCTCTCTCTCGCGTCCCACCAGGGCGACAAGTGTCAGTCCATCGCCTCTTCAATGGAATCACCAAAGCCAAACTCATGGCTCTCAACCCCCGCCTTGACTTGAGTTTTGAGGCGCCTCAAAACTCATCTCTTCTCTGCCTGTCTCCCTATTTCTCTCTCCCCACCAGGGCGACAAGTGTCTGTCAATCGCCTCTTCAATGGATATCACCAAAGCCAAACTCATGGCTCTCAACCCCGGTCTAGACTGCACGCAAACCATCAAGCCCGGCCGCTCCCTCTGTGTGGAGCGCAACGCCAGCTATGCCTACACGGCCCCCAAGTGTGTCAAGTACGCCACTCTCACAGCGCAGGACACGTGTGAGCGCCTGCTAAAGGGGTCCGGAAACGAGAAGGTAGAGCCCTCCTCCTGGGCTGAGCTCTACCGCAACAACCCCGGCCTCGTCTGCTCCAACACCGTCCCTGGCTCTGTATCTGCTGTCGGTAGCAACATTGGCGTTCAGGTGAGCGGTGGAAGGGGGTGGAGGAAGGGGAAGGGGTGGGAGAGGAACTTGTGGGAAATGGAAGGGTGGGAACAGGTGGATGGGGGTGAGGAAGAGGAAGTGGAGGGGCCTTGGGTGGGTGAGTGAGTTTTGGTAGCATAGGGGCTAGGTGAAGTGCATCAATTCCAGACTAGGGCTCCAAAGCATGAAACAGAACCTTGTTGAATGAACCTTTGATTTGTCTTCCATCGCCTCCTCAATCACTCTATTCTCTCTGCGCCTGCCTCTCTGCTACCCCAGGTGTGCCTCAGAGCAGAGTACTGGTCGTTTCAACTCGGCAAGTGCACCAAGGGCCGGGCCCGGTCGGTGTCGCCATCGCTCACATGTTCCGGTGCTTACCGCTTCTATGCCAACGCTGGAACTATGAGCCGTGACGATGCGTTTCAGGTTTACAACGGAGAGAGGTGTGCCAGCACGGTTGGAGGCAATTTTATTTGTGTGCCAAGATAAAAGGCCATGTCATGGCTTGTAAACATACGGTACGCTTTTCTTGTAGCAAATAGTGCACTGCACAGTTTAAATTCTGACGGCCCACCCCATTACAGACTTACTGCAGCACGTTATTAACAGCACATGGATTGTCGACCGTCCATACCCCCATCATGCACACGTACCAAACCTGCAGCAGCAAGGGTGGTAGTTTGATGGAGGAGTAAGGTGTGTTCTGTTTTTGGCTTCACACACTTTGGCTCTGCTCACGGGCTGTGCACATCAGCTGTACATATTGGGTAGCTCCATTCACATACCTACATGTTACAACTTGCTGTCCTGTATAAATATATCGCTAATCTAATAAACTGCAGTGTTGACCTTGTGTTTCGTGAAAAAATAAGGTGTTCGATAATTAGCACCCCCGCTTATCAGCTTTGCGCTCGCTGAGGAAGAAATACCCTAATTTTGCTACCTACCGTACATTAGATTAGAAGCAAGCCAGCCGTTGGCGTCCAGAGTTTTGGTTCAACAATACCAATAAGCATACGGCACGTCCGCGGTAACGCGGCACACTCATTGCGCAACCTGCCACTTTCATTCTAAGCACACCTGTGTACCCGGGCAATGACGATACTGCTGACCATTTGGGCCGTGGTGGATCTTTTTGTCCACCTTCCACTCCACACTCTCAAATTGCGAGGGCTACTGCGTAATACCCCGGATATAAGCGCACCTGCGCTTATAATAAAACATTGTTTTTTGGGGGGGTGCGCTTATAATTGAGTCAGATTTATAACCGCATGCGCTTGTATAAAGGATAAAATGAAAATCAACTTTAAACACACCATTGTGAAGCTCTCAATAAGGCGAATTCAACCGACCATGCACCAAGTGGGATCGTGCATGGTTTTCAGGCAGAAACCGCAGCGGTTCGGTTTCCCACCGCACAATGTTGTCTGGAAACATCGAATGTGACAGCCGTGACGAAGATGTTGCCGTGCGGCCCAATCAGAACCGCATGCGCTGCGTGGCATGTGCATTCGGGCAGAACCATCTCGAAGGTTCGGCAAGATTCCCTGCCAGCGCAGCGTAGATGCTGCCACGCAGGCGCCTCTACGGGAGTAGGCGAGGGTTTCCTGCCTGTCATCGACGAGGAACCCGAGCCGCCACGCAGCAGGGGTCACCGTCGTTGCCCATTTCTTCACCCTCTTCTCTGATTTTTTCATTCAGTTTCTTGTCAACCCCGCCTGGCAGGCGAAGCCATGGCGGAATTTAGTGGGACTCGCATCCTCTTCAAGAAAAAGCCACGCCGCACATGGCGACTTACCGAGGACGGGTGGTATACCCGTGAGCGACCAGCGCCTCCAGTGCCACCATATCCCCCTGCACCCCCTGCTCCTCCTGCTCCTCCTGCGCCTCCTGATCCACCCGCTCCTCCCGCACCTCCCGCTCCTCCGAATCCGCCTGAGTCTTTTACGGCAGGTGCTCACCAACGGCCCGTGCTCCAACTGTATTTACCGGCCACGTTCGACGAATGGTTAGCTGAAGCGGACACACCCAAGGCAGCCGATGCACGCATCCAAGCTCCGGCGCCTGCACCACGGTGGGGACAACCTGAATCCTGCGCGTGGGATGAGTCGGCTGTGGGCGCCGACGATGATGTGGCCGCCGACAAACATGACAGCGGCGCCGGCGAAGCTGGAGGCGACGGTGAAGCTGGTGGCGACGGTGCAGCGGGCGACGAGGAAGACGTGTTTCCCGACCGTGACACAACTGCCGAGGACGAGGACGGTGTGGAGTCCTGGTGGCGCGACGCACCACGCGCGAAGATGCCGATACCGACGTATCCGACCCCACCCGTCTACCGAGAATCGAGATGCCCGCCCTCCCTCCCCCAGGCACAAGCAGACTCAACATAAGCGGCAGTCCTACACCGCCCAGGAGAAGTTGAGGTGGCTCGTGCGGCTCGAGCTTGCGGCTTCGGTGAGCGAAGTGGCGCGGGAGTCAGGCATACACCGAAAATGTCTGACAGAATGGAAAGCCCAAGCGGAGGCGCTCAAGGCTGCACACGGAGCACGGATGCGACTTCACGGGCGCGGGAGGGCGTCTTGGTACCGCCCCATGGAGTTAAAGGTGTACGCGCAACTCCTCGACTGGTGACGCCGCGGAGTTGCGGTTTCAATCGGTCGGCTGCAAGAGTGGTCCAAAGAAGTGATGAAGGTTCTCTTCCCGGACGTCAAGTGGAAAGGCAGTCAGCGGTGGACGGAGCGGTTCCGCAAGCGGTGGAACCTCAGCGTGCGCATGAAAACAAAGGTGGCGCAGAAAACGCAGGAGCGTAAGTTGGTCGTTTACCGCTGATTCTGATGTATCCCGATTATGCATAGTTTCATTTTCGCATGTCTCCTGTGCGTGATGCTAATTTGGTTTACTATGTGTACTTATCTCCCTGTTCCGCAGACGTGGCTGAGCAGTGCAAGGATTTTTGGCAGTACGTACGTGACGCCCGGAACGAATACGACATTGACAACCGCTACATCATCAACGCCGACCAGACACCGCTGTGGTTGGAGATGCCGGCGACGACCACCGTGGAGCAGACGGGCGTGAGGTCGGTGCCCATCCGCAGCAGTGGGTACCAGAAGGAGAGAGTGACCGTCATGCTTGCGTGCACGGCGACGGGCGAGAAGCTGAAGCCGTGGGTGTTTTTCAAGCGCAAGACACTCCCCAAGGGTGACTTCCCGAACGGTAAGTGATTGTCGCGCGTGTTTATTCCCGTTACTACTAGAGTCGTCAACCGTTCTTTTTCCTTGCGTGCAGATGTTGTGGTCGGCTGCCAAGCGAACGGGTGGATGGAGGCCGCTGGCGTCATCGAGTGGCTCAACACGGGCGTGGTGCCGTTCCTGAAGCCGAAATTCGGCCTGCAGAGTCGTAGCGCCATGCTGGTGCTCGACTCCTATCGCGGTCACCTGACACCAGAAGTCGAGGAGAGATTCGCGGCGCTCAACATCGTGCCTGCGATCATTCCGGCAGGATGCACGGCAGACCTGCAGCCCCTCGATGTGTCGATCAACATTAGCTTCAAAGCAAGCATTCGTCAGCAGTACCAGACTTGGTTTGAGGCGGACGGCATGAACATCCTGACCCCGGCAGGTGAGTGACGACATGTGCTCCCGTCTGCAAATCTTGAGCTTGTATGCCTGTCTACTTGTCTCATGTTTTCCCCGCCCCACTCCGTGTGATGCAGGGAACATCAAGAAACCACCTCCGGAGGTGGTGCTCAAGTGGATTTCACGGGCGTGGAAGTGGGTGCCCGCCGACCTCATCAAAAAAGCCTTCCTCATGTGCGGCATCAGCAACGCCCTTGATGGGAGCGAAGACAAACTGGTGCTGGCGCACCGGAGAGGCCAGTTGTCCCATGAGGTGGAGGTGGACGACGACATCCAGGCAGATGGGTTCTGGGGCAACAACTCCACGGAGCCCGAGTCGGACGAGGAGGAAGAATAGGCAGTAGGGTAGACTAGGCTGGTTGAAAGGTGTGTAGTGCAGGACAGCAGAGACCACCCTTGTATGTGATTGTCTAAGTTAATGTTAAGTTTAGAACATGTAGGCTAGGCAGGTATAAAAAAATAATAATGATTTTTTTTAACTAAAAGGGTGCGCTTATAATAAGTCACGTTTTTCCAAGGGGTGCGCTTATAATTGAGGATCGGCCATAAGCGCATTGCTCCAGATACAAGCGCATGCGCTTAACATAGGCCTGCGCTTATATCCGGGGCTATACGGTATCATAATCTGACGTAGGAAAGTGAAAAATAGAAAGTAACAAAAAAACTCACACCGCTTGAATTCAAACTGATAGAAGGCCTTTTGTACGGTATGAACTCATCTAGGGAAAACATTATGGGGGAATACCGCCATCGCCCGGATATATGACAGTGTTGAATTGAAGACGGGGTGTCTTTAAAACGGGTGTATCTTATAAATGGGTGTTCCTGATTATAAAACACATGTCGGTGTGTACGAGTTAAGCCAGTGTAGGGGTTAGGGGTAATCTTATGACGAGGGGGTATCTTCTAAACGGTTCTTTGTCCATTTATAAGAATTATAAGACACCCTAAACCACCCCAATTACAAGACAACCCAAGCATTTTTTCTAGTGTATAAGATAAGACATCTGTCTTATATCCGGGCGATGACGGTACCGTACCATGCGGCAATACTGGAGTGTGTAGCCACACTGCCAAGCTTAGTGAGACCAGTTGGCTTGGCAGGACCCGATAAACAACATCATGATGCAGCACTAGTCAAAGCCTCACATAACGTCACATCACATCACATCACATCACATCACATCACATCACATCACATCACATCACATCACATCACATCACATCACATCACATCACATCACATCACATCACATCACATCACATCACAGCCATTGTATGATTGTTCCAAGCCAAGACCATCCCTTCAACGACCTCATCCCATGCCATGCCATGCCATGCCATTACAAAGTCGACCCGCTGCGAGTGAAGTGGCTCTGCCTCAGCTCCCTCAGCTGCTCATCCAATGAATCGCCAAGCCCCGCCGAACCCTTCTCGCCCGCCTCTCGTTCCCCACGACCATCGTCCGACCCATCAGAATCACCACCACCAGCACCAGCGGCAGCGGCAGCAGCAGCGCCATCAGCAGCGGCAGGATCGGTGGGAAGGCCGTCCCCGGTGGGGGTGGTGGAGGAGTAGGTGATGTGGGAGACGTCGTAGTGCATAGAGGGGTTGCTGTCGGACCCGTGGAGTGTGGAGGAGGACACTCCGATGTTGCGCTGCATGCTCCACTCCACTCCCTGCACAGCAGCACGGGCGCAGGGGCAAAGGAGTGAGGAAGGAAGGGGGAAAGTGAGATCTTTGAGGCGCCTCAAAAAGTCACCCCCACGATAAGCTGCATGGTTTAACCCCACGTGATCAAAGTGATATTTTGTCCCATGAGACGTCTCAAAACATCACTTTTATCACTTGGCGCCTCAAAAGTCACTCCCATGATGAGTTGCATGGTTTACCCCATGCACTGGACAGGAGTGCGGGCGCAGGAGCAAGGGGATTGCAGAGGAAACGCCAACACGAGAGCCTCAGTCTTGAGGCGCTTCAGCACGAGCATCCTTCCACTCCGTTACAAAAGCATCAGTTTGAAGTGATTTGGGCAAGTGGGGAAAGGGGGATGGTTGGGATGGGAGGGCAGCAGGAAGGAGCAGCACAGAAGAGAGGAGGAGGAGGAGGAGGAGGAGGAGGAGGAGGAGGAGGAGGAGGAGGAGGAGGAGGAGGAGGAGGCCCCCTCCCATCCTGATCTACCCCCCTATCCGCCGCATCCCAGTGTCATCCCTCTTTCTCAGATCCTTGTTCCCACCTCCCTTTCCCCCTCCCCTTCCTCCATTTCCCCACTTCCGCCCTTTCCCCCCCCTTCGGCCTCTCTGAATCATCCTCCCCCTGTTGCCTTCTTCCTCCATTTCTATTCTCACCGCAGTGTAAGCACTCTTGTAGTGGCGAACGCGGCTCTTGAGGCGCCTGGGCTTGCTGACAGGAGCACGGACTGGCGTCACTCCCACTGCGTACGGGGCTTCCCCCTCCTGCCCTTCTTGCTCTGCTGCCGCTGCCCTCTCTGCGGCTGCCTGCTGCTGCGCTAGCCTGCAGCGAGGGAGTGAGGGGGAGCGAGGCGGAGTGAGGGGGAGTGAGGGGGGGTGAGGGTATTTTTGAGGCGCCTCAAAAGTTCCCCCTCCTGCCCTTCTTGCTCCGCTGCCGCCGCCCTCTCTGCGGCTGCCTGCTGCTGCGCTAGCCTGCAGCGAAGGAGTGAGGGGGGGTGAGGGTATTTTTGAGGCGCCTCAAAAGTTCCCCCTCCTGCCCTTCTTGCTCCGCTGCCGCCGCCCTTTCAGCAGCTGCCTGCTGCTGCGCTAGCCTGCAGCCAAGGAGTGAGGGGGGTTGAGGGTATTGGGTGGCATACCGTGGGGTATTCTAAGGTGCTGGTGCTACGTGAAAGTGAATTCGTTTCTAAAAGAGCCTGAAGACGGATGGAGCATGCTTCGGAGATGCCTCATAAGCAGCAGCATGGATGGAGGAGAGGAGGAGAGGGAGGGAGGAGGAGAGGGGGAGAAGGGGGAGAAGACGAGAGGAGAAGAGGGGGAGAGAAGGAGAGGGGGAGAGCACCCACCGGAAGGCCTTGAGGCCACGGTACACGAGGAGAGCAGCGTAGAGCAGACAGGCAGGTGCGTGCACGTGATGTCTGAGAATGAGTGTGTGCATGAGCATTGAGCAGCACGCATGGAGGAGGAGAGGAGGAGCAAGAGCACCCACCGGAAGGCCTTGAGGCCACGGTACACGAGGAGAGCGGCGTAGAGCAGGCAGGTGCCCATAGCAGAGAGTAAGTAGAGCAGGAAGAGCCCCCAGAAGGAGTCCGGGCCCAGGCGCATCGACTCCAGCTCCAACCCTGAACTGCACGTGCCCTTGCCCTGTCGGTGTGGCGGGGGGAGGTGAAAGAAGGGCTTTGGTTTGGATAGAACTCAACAGCCGTCATCGTCCGGGGCCAGGCGCATTGACTCCAGCTCCAGCCCTGAACTGCACGTGCCCTTGCCCTAGGGTGAGTGTGTGTGTGGGAGGAGAAGGGGGGTGGGTGGGGTTGTGGGGGTGAAAGGTGGGGGGGTTGAGTCAACTGAGAAGTGAAGCCCCCAGAAGGAGTCCGGGCCCAGGCGCATTGACTCTAGCTCCAACCCCGCACTGCAACTGCCCTTGCCCTGGAGGAGGGGAGGTGGAAGAGGGGGAGATGGAGGAAGCAAGGTGGGAGGAGCGGGAACAAAACAACGAAGGGTAGGGGGCAGGTGGGGGGGAAGGATGGAGTTGACGAGGGTGAGAGAGGAGGTGCAAGAATGGTCCTGGGTAGAACTGAAGGCAGAGCTTTCAACAACAACCTTCCTTGCAAGCAAAGTGAACGATTCAGAAAGAGGATGCGTTCTTGAGGCGCCTCAAAGACGGATTTTGAAAGAGGACGCGTGTGTGCCTGTCTGCCTGTCTGCCTACCTATATGTGCGCCTGAGCGGGTGCGTGGGTGCGTGTGTGCGTGCGAGAGTCACTTACCCGGAGCCACAGGTCATGCAGAGACTGCAGCTGGCCGTTCTGTGCCAGGGTCTCTATCGCCAGAGACAGGTCCGCTGTCAGAGACGACCCCCTCTGGAACGCCTGTGGCAGAGAGCAGAGAGAGAGAGAGAGCAGTGGTGGGGAAGATTGGTTGGGGAGAGCGAGTCGTGGGGAAATGGTCTGTGCCAGGGTCTCTATCGCCAGAGACAGGTCCTCTGTCAGAGATGACCCCTTCTGGAACGCCTGTGGCGCAGCACAGAGCACAGCACACAGAGGCACAGTCATGGGAGCAACGGTGGTGATCAAAGAGGGTGGGAGGTAGTGCGAGAGAGCGGGTAGTGGTGTTTGGGAGTGCGGGAAGGACAGATAGGTAGTGTCGATGAACGGGGACACGTGAATTTTCAGGGTCGCGTGTCACGTGTGCAACGAGCATTCACGGAGGGCGCGGGCGAGGAAAGAGGGAGGGAGAGAAACCACCAGGGAAACAGGCAGGGCATGAGATTCTTTGTCCACTGCTAGCCCATGAGGCAAACAGCAAGAGCAGCAGGATCAGCGATAGAAACAGACGCACAAAGCTGACTTCTGAGTCGACTCAAAAGGCAAACAGCAAGAGCAGCGAGAGCAGACGACGCACGAAGCCAAAGTTGAAGGTGGCAAAGGCGTGAGGCGGCTTGGTGTAGTAGCAGTGGTCGGAGAGGAATATGTCGAGGTAGGGCTCCTCATCCACCACCACTGCCACCTGCTGCTCCTGCACCACCGCATCCCAGTCCCCCTCCGGGTCTATGGCCACTAGGCGCGACTGGGAAGAAGGGGGTAGGTGGGAGGGAAGGGCGGGGGAAGGATGGCAAAAAGATAGGGGGATGGGGAAGGAGGGGGAGAAGGGAAGGGAGATGATGGGTCGGCTTCTTAGGTGCCTTATGGTATGAGGGAAAGCGGTAGGGAAAACGGGAGGTGGAGGATGTGAGGTGAGGGAAAGTGAGGTTTCTGTTTGGCAGGGTAGGTTGGTGGCACACTTCAGTTCGGAATCAGACCTGGCAAGTTGCACACTTTCAACTGCACATGGAGGCACTTGCTTGCACAGAGTGTGTCGTATAGGTAGGGGGCGCAAGGTGGGCAAGGAGTGGAGCTTTTCCAGTGCAACCAAGGTATCTGAGTCGACCAAAAAATCATCTCCGGGCATTGCCACACGGGCACAGCGAGGAGCATCAGCGTGTCAAGGCAGAGAGGAGAGGGAGAGAGTGGGAGGCAGCAGCAGCTGACCTCGTTGATGCCCACGCCCTGCATGTACGCCGCTGTGAAGGAGCCCGCCCTGTATCCCACGGTCTGGTTGCCATGCTGCAGCGCTGTGAAGTCCTGCTCACAGCGGCAGCGGTGGCAGCAGCAGTGGCGGGGGCGGCGGCGGCGGCGGAGGCAGGAGGAGACGGGGCGATTCAGGAAAGAGATGAGATGGTGGAGTTTCATGGGGAGTCGTACAACCTAGTGCATAGTCATGCATGTGCATGTGCAAGTGCATGTGCATGTGCGTGGGCATGTGCGTGGGCATGTGCATGGGAATGAGAATAGCCATGGCATGGCACGACTAACTGAACATGATACACCCATGAGGGAAGAAAGGCACGAGAAAAAGGGAGTCGAGGGAGAGATAGAGAGAGGACGGGGCGGGGGGAAAGGGGGTGGGGGTGGGGTAGGACGTACGGAGACGGTGGGCTCGGACTGGCTGACGGTGAGAACAGAGGAGAGACTAGCAGTGTAGGCAGAGGAGATGACAAAGACCACGAAGAGCCACACGATCACCACTGTGCGACCCAGCGTCGTGCGCACTTGCTCCTCTGGTGTGGTGAAGGAGGAGGGGGGGAGGGAGGAGGGAGGAGGGGTGAGGGGTGAGAAGGAGGGAGCAGGGTGAAGCAAGGAGAGGAGGGTGGATAACAAGAGAAAAGGGTGAAGAAAGAAAGAAGGGTGGAGCAAGAGCGACTGTGACAGAGAGTGTGTGAGCGAGTGATAGAAGCGGAAAGAGAGATGGGAAAGGGCAGAAAGGAGAGTAGTGTGCGTGGGGGAAGAGAGGACGAGGGAAGAGAAGGATGGGCAGAATGGTGGCAGAATGGTGGCAGAATGGTGGCAGAATGGTGGCAGGGCAGGCAGCGCGTACCATGAGAGAAGGTCATGGTGGCAAAGGAGAACCTGCTCATGAGGAGGAGCCGGGAGTGGAAGAGGAAGGTGGGGAGCGGAGAGGAAGGGGGACAAGGAAGAGGGTGGGGGGAAAAGGGGGAGGAAGTGGGGGGGAAAAGAAATGGGGGCAAGAGGGGAGGAGGGAGGAGCTGAGGAAGGTATAAAAGAAAAGAAGGCAAGAGATAGAGCGAGAGCAGATGAGAGAGACAAGAGAAAATTTGCAGGTTTACCGGCACAACAACAGCAAGTTGATTTAGGCACGGCAGATCTGCCTCACTCACCACCTCACTCACCACCTCGCTCACCACCTCGCTCACCACCTCGCTCACAGCATCCTTTCTAAACGACTCGTTCCGTCCTACTTCCCAGCACGCACACGCACACCCTCCATACTCCTCGCCCTGCATGTATCCCCACTTCCCCATTCGCTCTCAAACAGCTTCCACACACGCTCACAAATACTCCCCCCTCCCCTCCCCCCTCCCACTTCTCCCCATCCCCCACGCCTCACCCCCCACCCCCCATCCCCCACCGCTTCCCCCCTCCCCCCCACACGCACCAGACGCTGGTGGCGAGCTGCTGGTGCAGCTTCCCCCCAAAGTCTTCGTTCTGCAGGTGCTCGAGGAACCAGACGAAGAAGGACACGTACAGCAGCACCCACATGCCCGGGGTGAACGAGCATCTCCCCTTCCCTTCTCTGCCCTGCCACTCCAATCCGCCCTTCCCAACCAACCGACCTCCCTCTCCCGATCAGCACATCCGTTCACTCGCCCCCCAAGTACCCCATCCTCCCCTTCCCTCCCCCATCCCCCCTTCCCCCACCCCCCCCCCCCCCCCCCCCCCTCCCCCCTCCCCCCCGCACGCACCAGACGCTGGTGGCGAGCTGCTGGTGCAGCTTGCCGCCAAAGTCTTCGTTCTGCAGGTGCTCGAGGAACCAGACGACGAGCGCGGTGTAGAAGAAGGACACGTACAGCAGCACCCACATGCCCGGGGTGAACGGCGCCAGGAACGCCCACGTGTTGGGTGCGGCGCGCTGCACCGGCACCACAAAGGATAGGCCAGATGACTGCAGGATGAGAGGCGGGGGTGCAGTATGGGTGGGCGAGTGTGGGGGGTGGGTCGGGGGAGGGGAGACAGGGGGGGAGAGGGAAGGGGATGAGAGGATGGAGAACCGGGAAGCTTCTAAGGAGAGGGAAGAGGGAGTGGTGAGAGGCAGAGGGGTGAACGGCGCCAGGAACGCCCATGTGTTGGGCGCCGCCCGCTGCACCGGCACGGCACCACAAAGGACAGCCCCGAGGACTGCCGGATGCGGGGGGGAGAATGGGCGAGACGGGTGGGTGGGCGGGCAGGGTGGGTGGGTGGGCGGGTGCATGAGGGGAGAGAAGAGGGAGGGTGTGAGGGGCAGAGGGGTGGCGGGGCGTCAGGAACGGCCATGTGTTGCGAATGGCACAAGGGGGAATGCGAAGCGAAGGAGTGGGGAAAGAAGTGGGGATGGGAGTGGGGACGGGATGGAAGTGGCGGCGGCGCAAGGGCAGGGAAACAGGGAGCGGGAGGAAATGTGTCGTGTGCAATTGTAACGAGGTGACTTTTGAATCGACTGAAAAGTCACCTGGAGCAAGTGGGTGGTTACCTCGAAGGGCTGTGTGAAGTCCACGAGCAGGGCTCGGTCGGATGTGATTGTGATGTCCCCCACCGCGGCATCGTACGTCTGCTCTCCCCGCATGTGGGGCGGTTGGGATGGATAAGAGATGATGAGAGGAGAGGCGAGGAGAGGAGAGGAGAGGAGAGGAGAGGAGGGGAGAAGAGAGGAGAGGAGAGGAGAGGAGAGGAGAGGAGAGGAGAGGCGAGGAGAGGAGAGGAGAGGAGAGGAGAGGAGAGGCGAGGAGAGGAGAGGAGAGGCGAGGAGAGGAGAGGATAGGAGAGGGATGGATTGTTTGGAAGGGAGAGAACGAGTGGGAAGGGAGAGAAGAAGAGGGTAAAGGGAGGAGAGGAAGAGGGTGGAGGGAAGAGAGGAGAGGAAGAGGGTGGAGAGAAGAGAGGTTATTCATCCATGCAAGTTGAGCCAAGACTAAAGCATTGACGAGCCGCAGCCATGAAAGCCAGGACAACCTTGCTTCCACCCGTGTGATTCTAACTCACAGAATGCCAATAACGAGCCAACATTCCATACTGGCAACACACCTTATTGGCAACAGCAGCGAGCATGGCATCATAACTGGGCGGGGTCTGGCCGTCGCCGTACGCGACAAACTGGTAGGAGAGCGTGTAGGGCAGCAGCGCGACAGCGGACTTGAAGACGTCGATACAGAAGCCCGAGAACTTGTCGTTGCTGGACGACGTGCCGTTGCTGCTCTCCCCCACAAACACAAACTCGTGGTGCACCTGGGCACGGCAGGGCAGAGCAGGGGAGGGGCAGGGGAAGGGGGAGCGTGGGTGGGGGTTGGGGGGGAACGGGTGGAGGAGCAACAAGCTGGCCAGTTATGAGCCTGCCATTCCGTCTCTATTTCTCTCTCCCTCCGTCTCTATATCGCTCTCCTAAACGATTCCATCTATAGGTTCTTCCCTTCCCCCTCCTTACCATCATGCGTGGCACAAACACAATACTCTTCGCGCCGGCTCAAGGAGACACCCCTACCCTCCCGGGCCTTACCTTTTTGTTTGGCACAGTGACCTGGAGAGGGGCAGAGGACTCGAACGAAGTTATTTTTTCTAGACATCTCAAAAATCCACTTCTTTCACGTGGCTTACCCTCCCTCAAATGGTCCGTTGTATTAATTCAGCAGGGGTACAGACATGCAGTTCTATCCATGGTAGCCTCAATCCCATAAGCCCATCAACTCACCCCTCTTCCCCCCCCCCGAGTGACCCTCTAGCCCTCCAACTCCCTCCCTCTCTGGCCTTACCTTTTTGTTTGGCACGGCGATCTGGAGAGGGGCAGAGGACTTGGGGAACGCTCCCAGAGGTACCTGGGGAGGGGCGAGGGTGGGGAGAGAGCGTGGTGAGAGAGGATGGGGAGAGAGGTGGGGAGAGAGAGTGGGGAGAGAGGGTGGGGAGTGAGGGGACGTGAAGAGAGGGGACGAGGGGAAAGGGGAAGAGGAGAGAGGGCGGGGAGAGAGGTGACAGGCAGAGAGGGGACGAGGGGAAGGGGACGAGAAGAGAGGGCGGGGAGAGAGGTGACGGGCAGAGAGGGGACGAGGGGAAAGGGGACGAGAAGAGAGGGCGGGGAGAGAGGGGACGGGCAGAGCAGGCCGGAAGAGCGGGCGGGGGGAGAGGGAGGAGAAAAGGGGGGACAGGGCAAACTTTGGAGAAGAAGCAAGGGTTGTTGACACACACAAAGGGATCAAGATGGCTCAAGAAAAGGAGTACTGACGACAGGGCTCCAACCAAGGCAAGGGAGGGGAGGATTTGAAGACTGGGAGTGAGTGGCCCCTTGGAATAAGTGTTACTTTTTTATTCTCCAGAACGGATACACCCCCCCAGAGTTTCTTGAGTTGGCAAAGCAAGAAAGGAAATAAAACACACCCACCCACACACACACACTCTCTCTCTCTCTCTCTCTCTCTCTCTCTCTCACACACACACACACACACAGACACACACACACACACGCACACAGACACACACGCACACAGACACACACGCACACGCACACGCACACACACACACACACACACACACACACACACACACACACACACACACACACACACACACACACACACACACACACACACACACACACACACACAAACACCATAGGAAGAAAAGGCACACTATATCCCTTTCCCCTTTTTCCTCCCACCGCAATCGGCAGCACAAACCAAACGCATTAAGCAAGTACGCGCAACACAACTCCCAGGTCACGTGCCTTGCTGGTTGAGAGAGACAGAGCCACCCACCCACCCACCCACCCACCCACCTCTGTGATGCCTCCCGGCCATATGACAGCACGCAGGGACGCATCTGCATCCGCCACCACACCCTGCGACGCTGCTGCTGCCGCTGCTGACACCCCCACTGCCTTCGCCTGGGGGATGCAATGCAGGAGAGCGAAGAGTGCAGGGCAAGCCCGGATTGGTACAATGCGTGGAAGAAGGGGTAGGAGAGGGGGGGACACAGGGGATGGGGGGGGGGGGGGGGGAAGGGGGTTGTTGGGGGAGAGAGGGGAGGGGAAGGAGGGGGATTGGAAGAAGAGAAAGGAGAGGGGGTGAAGGAGAGGGGGTGAAGGAGAGGGCGGGCACTACTGGGATGCAGCAGCAAGCAAGATAGATCTTCCAAGCTGACTGAGCAATTGATTTGAATTCACTGGAAGTTGTGCGAGGGACAAGAGCGTGAGTAAGTGAGGGCGACATGAGTGAGTGAGGTTGATGTGAGTGAGTGAGGGTGACGTGAGTGAGTGGGAAGCGGGTGAGAGGGAAGTGTGCAAGACGTGTGAGTGAGCGTACAGCAGCAGCGCGAGTGGTGAGACGCCTGGCTTCCAGGCGGTCCACCATCTGACCAGCAGCACGGCCGAACGCACCGGAGCGAGGCCATGTGGGCAGGACGGCAACGTGGTTAACATGGGGCATGTGGGGCATGTGGGGCACATGGGGCACGTGGGGGGCATGGTGGGCATGGTGGGCATGGTGGGTATGTGGGTGGGAGGAAAAGGAGAAGTTGAGGAGGACGGAAGTGAGAGAATATGGCAGCAGAGGACACATGCGCAGGAGATGTGGTGGTCTGGCTGGGGGCTGGTCAGACTACTAGGTTGACGATACATTACAAGGCAGCAGATGGTGGCAGTGGCATATGGCAGCAGATGGTGGCAGTGGCATATGGCAGCAGATGGTGGCAGTGGCATATGGCAGCAGATGGTGGCAGTGGCATATGGCAGCAGATGGTGGCAGTGGCATATGGCAGCAGATGGTGGCAGTGGCATATGGCAGCAGATGGTGGCAGTGGCATATGGCAGCAGATGGTGGCAGTGGCATATGGCAGCACTGCACCGCTTGCGAGCATGCCAGCAGCAGCAGCGGCGGCGGCGGCGGCAGCAGCACATGCTCACCTGGATGGAGGAGAGGAACGCCTGAGAAGCAGATGCAGATGCGGGAGGGGCAGGAGGCGGGGGTGGCGGAGGGGGAGGCGGGGGGGGAGGAACAGCCGGGGAGGATGAGGGCGCAGGGGAAGGGGCGGAGGCATTGGGGGGTGAGGGGGGAGGGGAGGCGGGGGGAGGGGAAGGGGGAGGGGGAGAGGGAGGGGGAGGGGCGCGGTAGTGGTAGAAGGCGATTGTGCGGAGGCCATGGCGCAGCACATTGGCCACTCGGAAGAACTGCTCCTGTAGGTCGCCCCCTGTCGTGAATGACACCCTGGTGGGGGGGGGGTGGGGGGGGGGGGAGAGAGAGAGGGGACTTGTGAGAGGACGTGAATTCTGAGTCGACTCAAAAGGAGCACATTGGCCACTCGGAAGAACTGCTCCTGTAGGTCGCCCCCTGTCGTGAATGACACCCTGGTGGGGGGGGGGTGGGGGGGGGGGGGGGGAGAGAGAGAGGGGACTTGTGAGAGGACGTGAATTCTGAGTCGACTCAAAAGGAGCACATTGGCCACTCTGAAGAACTGCTCCTGTAGGTCGCCCCCTGTCGTGAATGACACCCTGGTGGGGGGGGGGTGGGCGGGGGGGGAGAGAGAGAGGGGACTTGTGAGAGGACGTGAATTCTGAGTCGACTCAAAAGGAGCACATTGGCCACTCTGAAGAACTACTCGTGTAGGTCGCCCCCTGTCGTGAATGACACCCTGGTGGGGGGGGGGGGTGGGGGGGGAGAGAGAGAGGGGACTTGTGAGAGGACGTGAATTCTGAGTCGACTCAAAAGGAGCACATTGGCCACTCTGAAGAACTACTCGTGTAGGTCGCCCCCTGTCGTGAATGACACCCTGACGGGGGGGAAAGGGGGGGGGAAGTAGAGAGGGGACTTGTGAGCCGACGTGACTTTTGAGTCGACTCAAAAGGAGCACATTGGCCACTCGGAAAAACTGCTCCTGTAGGTCGCCGTGAATGACACCCTGGGGGAGGGGGGGCGGGGAGGGAGCGGAGACAGAGGGGGAGCAGGCAGGATGTAAGGCCGGTGGGCATGGAGATGGTAAAAGGCAAGGTGCGCAGCAGATTGGCCACTCAGAAGAACTGCTCCTGTAGGTCGCCGCCTGTCGTGAATGACACCCTGACGGGGGGGAGGAAGAAGGAGGGGATGGATTATTTGTGAGACGACTCAAAGAAATAAGAACTGCTCCTGTAGGTCGCCCCCTGGCGTGAATGACACCCTGGCGGGGGGAAAGGGAGGGGAGGGAGTGAGGAAGGGAGGGAGGGAGGGAGGGAGGGGAGGGAGTGAGGAAGGGAGGGAGGGAGGGAGGGGAGGGAGTGAGGAAGGGAGGGAGGGAAAAGAAGCTGCTCCTGGAGGTATGAAATAGCAGGGGACAGGCAGTCAGCATGAGGGATGAGGTGCGAGGCAGCGAGGGGATGTGATTTGAAGGGGATTCAGCTGGGTTGGATAGGGTCAGGCCAGATTGCATGTCGCACATGGTGGGGGGGGAGGGGGGATTGCATGGCCAGACTGACAGAGTGCTTCTAAGTACATTCTTAGTCGATTCCAAAGCCAGACTGGCAAAGTGCTGCACTGCACTTACTCTCCCAAGAGTCCTGTCATGTTGCTCTTCAGGATGGAGGCTAGCAATGCATCCCCGCCTGCTCACACCCATGCCATGGGCACACACACACGCACGCACATGCGCACGCACACGCGCACACGCACACACGCACACGCACACATTTACACTCACACATTTATACACATAGAGCTTCGCGAACAGCACCAGCACAGCATGAGAAAGACTCCCCATTGCATCTTATAGAAATTCCTAGTTGGTACATGCAGGAACCCACCACCCACCCACCATGAACCAACAACACACACACACCCACCCCACCAGGCACCATGCATGCACCTGCATGGCTTTTGAGTCGACTCATAAGTCACACCACACCCCCCCCACCCCACGAGGAACCTTCACGCACCATGCACCTGCACGCACCATGCACCTGCACGCACCATGCACCTGCACGCACCATGCACCTGCACGCACCATGCACCTGCACGCACCATGCACCTGCACGCACCATGCACCTGCACGCACCATGCACCTGCACGCACCCTGCACCTGCACGCACCATGCACCTGCACGCACCATGCACCTGCACGCACCATGCACCTGCACGCACCATGCACCTGCACGCACCATGCACCTGCACGCACCATGCACCTGCACGCACCATGCACCTGCACGCACCATGCACCTGCACGCACCATGCACCTGCACGCACCATGCACCTGCACGCACCATGCACCTGCACGCACCATGCACCTGCACGCACCATGCACCTGCACGCACCATGCACCTGCACGCACCATGCACCTGCACGCACCATGCACCTGCACGCACCATGCACCTGCACGCACCATGCACCTGCACGCACCATGCACCTGCACGCACCATGCACCTGCACGCACCATGCACCTGCACGCACCATGCACCTGCACGCACCCTGCACCTGCACGCACCATGCACCTGCACGCACCATGCACCTGCACGCACCATGCACCTGCACGCACCCTGCACCTGCACGCACCATGCACCTGCACGCACCATGCACCTGCACGCACCATGCACCTGCACGCACCATGCACCTGCACGCACCATGCACCTGCACGCACCCTGCACCTGCACGCACCATGCACCTGCACGCACCATGCACCTGCATGCACCATGCACCTGCACGCACCATGCACCTGCACGCACCTGCAGCTGCTGAAAGTGACTTTTGAGACAATAAAAGAATCCAATCCCACGGGCACCATGCTATCCACGCACCTGCATGCAACCCCAGCTGCTGAAAGCTGGGGTTGGTGCCGGCCACGGGGCTGGGAGGGGCTGTTTTTAAAGTCGACTAAAAAACAAACCGTGCCATGCACGCACCTGCACGCACCTTTATGCACCCCCAGCTGCTGGAAGCTGGGGTTGGTGGCGGCCACAGGGTTGGGTTGGGGGGGGGCTGTTTTTGAGTTGACTAAAAAACAGACCGTGCCATGCACACACGCACCTGCACGCACCTTTATGCACCTCCAGCTGCTGGAAGCTGGGGTTGGTGCCGGCCACGGGGCTGGGGGGGGCCGAGGGCGCAGCACCAGGGGGAGGAGAGGGCGCGGGAGGGGGCGGGGGAGCGCGGGAGAGAGCAACTGCGGCATAGGCAGCGAGGTGCACGGCGTCATAGGCTGATATGGCCTGCCGCAGTGCCTCGTCTGGGGACTGGGGTGTTTGTTTCAGGGGGAAAGGGGTAGAGGAGGGGAAAGAATAGGTTGAAAAAAAGCAAGAGGCGGCATAGGCAGCGATGGCCTGCCGGAGAGTCTCGTCCGGGGACTGGAGGAGTGAGGGGTGGACAGAGGAGGTTGAAGAGGGGATGGGGGTGTGGGGGTTGTATGTCATGAATGATTGGAAAGGCAGCGTAGGCAGCGAGGTGCAGAGCGGCATAAGCAGAGCGAGGTGCAGAGCGGCATAAGCAGAGCGAGGTGCAGAGCGGCATAAGCAGAGCGAGGTGCAGAGCGGCATAAGCAGAGCGAGGTGCAGAGCGGCATAAGCAGAGCGAGGTGCAGAGCGTCATAAGCAGAGCGAGGTGCAGAGCGGCATAAGCAGAGCGAGGTGCAGAGCGGCATAAGCAGAGCGAGGTGCAGAGCGGCATAAGCAGAGCGAGGTGCAGAGCGTCATAAGCAGAGCGAGGTGCAGAGCGGCATAAGCAGAGCGAGGTGCAGAGCGGCATAAGCAGAGCGAGGTGCAGAGCGTCATAAGCAGAGCGAGGTGCAGAGCGGCATAAGCAGAGCGAGGTGCAGAGCGTCATAAGCAGAGCGAGGTGCAGAGCGGCATAAGCAGAGCGAGGTGCAGAGCGGCATAAGCAGAGCGAGGTGCAGAGCGTCATAAGCAGAGCGAGGTGCAGAGCGGCATAAGCAGAGCGAGGTGCAGAGCGTCATAAGCAGAGCGAGGTGCAGAGCGGCATAAGCAGAGCGAGGTGCAGAGCGTCATAAGCAGAGCGAGGTGCAGAGCGTCATAAGCAGAGCGAGGTGCAGAGCGGCATAAGCAGAGCGAGGTGCAGAGCGTCATAAGCAGAGCGAGGTGCAGAGCGGCATAAGCAGAGCGAGGTGCAGAGCGTCATAAGCAGAGCGAGGTGCAGAGCGTCATAAGCAGAGCGAGGTGCAGAGCGGCATAAGCAGAGCGAGGTGCAGAGCGTCATAAGCAGAGCGAGGTGCAGAGCGTCATAAGCAGAGCGAGGTGCAGAGCGTCATAAGCAGAGCGAGGTGCAGAGCGTCATAAGCAGAGCGAGGTGCAGAGCGTCATAAGCAGAGCGAGGTGCAGAGCGTCATAAGCAGAGCGAGGTGCAGAGCGTCATAAGCAGAGCGAGGTGCAGAGCGTCATAAGCAGAGCGAGGTGCAGAGCGTCATAAGCAGAGCGAGGTGCAGAGCGTCATAAGCAGAGCGAGGTGCAGAGCGTCATAAGCAGCGAGGTGCAGAGCGTCATAAGCAGAGCGAGGTGCAGAGCGTCATAAGCAGAGCGAGGTGCAGAGCGTCATAAGCAGAGCGAGGTGCAGAGCGTCATAAGCAGAGCGAGGTGCAGAGCGTCATAAGCAGCGAGGTGCAGAGCGTCATAAGCAGAGCGAGGTGCAGAGCGTCATAAGCAGAGCGAGGTGCAGAGCGTCATAAGCAGAGCGAGGTGCAGAGCGTCATAAGCAGAGCGAGGTGCAGAGCGTCATAAGCAGAGCGAGGTGCAGAGCGTCATAAGCAGAGCGAGGTGCAGAGCGTCATAAGCAGAGCGAGGTGCAGAGCGGCATAAGCAGAGCGAGGTGCAGAGCGGCATAAGCAGAGCGAGGTGCAGAGCGTCATAAGCAGAGCGAGGTGCAGAGCGGCATAAGCAGAGCGAGGTGCAGAGCGTCATAAGCAGAGCGAGGTGCAGAGCGTCATAAGCAGAGCGAGGTGCAGAGCGTCATAAGCAGAGCGAGGTGCAGAGCGTCATAAGCAGCGAGGTGCAGAGCGTCATAAGCAGAGCGAGGTGCAGAGCGTCATAAGCAGAGCGAGGTGCAGAGCGTCATAAGCAGCGAGGTGCAGAGCGTCATAAGCAGCGAGGTGCAGAGCGTCATAAGCAGCGAGGTGCAGAGCGTCATAAGCAGCGAGGTGCAGAGCGTCATAAGCAGCGAGGTGCAGAGCGTCATAAGCAGCGAGGTGCAGAGCGTCATAAGCAGCGAGGCGCAGAGCGTCATAAGCAGCGAGGTGCAGAGCGTCATAAGCAGCGAGGTGCAGAGCGTCATAAGCAGCGAGGTGCAGAGCGTCATAAGCAGCGAGGTGCAGAGCGTCATAAGCAGCGAGGTGCAGAGCGTCATAGCAGCGAGGTGCAGAGCGTCATAAGCAGCGAGGTGCAGAGCGTCATAAGCAGCGAGGTGCAGAGCGTCATAAGCAGCGAGGTGCAGAGCGTCATAGGCAGCGAGGTGCAGAGCGTCATAAGCAGCGAGGTGCAGAGCGTCATAAGCAGCGAGGTGCAGAGCGTCATAAGCAGCGAGGTGCAGAGCGTCATAAGCAGCGAGGTGCAGAGCGTCATAAGCAGCGAGGTGCAGAGCGTCATAAGCAGCGAGGTGCAGAGCGTCATAAGCAGCGAGGTGCAGAGCGTCATAAGCAGCGAGGTGCAGAGCGTCATAAGCAGCGAGGTGCAGAGCGTCATAAGCAGCGAGGTGCAGAGCGTCATAAGCAGCGAGGTGCAGAGCGTCATAAGCAGCGAGGTGCAGAGCGTCATAAGCAGCGAGGTGCAGAGCGTCATAAGCAGCGAGGTGCAGAGCGTCATAAGCAGCGAGGTGCAGAGCGTCATAAGCAGCGAGGTGCAGAGCGTCATAAGCAGCGAGGTGCAGAGCGTCATAAGCAGCGAGGTGCAGAGCGTCATAAGCAGCGAGGTGCAGAGCGTCATAAGCAGCGAGGTGCAGAGCGTCATAAGCAGCGAGGTGCAGAGCGTCATAAGCAGCGAGGTGCAGAGCGTCATAAGCAGCGAGGTGCAGAGCGTCATAAGCAGCGAGGTGCAGAGCGTCATAAGCAGCGAGGTGCAGAGCGTCATAAGCAGCGAGGTGCAGAGCGTCATAAGCAGCGAGGTGCAGAGCGTCATAAGCAGCGAGGTGCAGAGCGTCATAAGCAGCGAGGTGCAGAGCGTCATAAGCAGCGAGGTGCAGAGCGTCATAAGCAGCGAGGTGCAGAGCGTCATAAGCAGCGAGGTGCAGAGCGTCATAAGCAGCGAGGTGCAGAGCGTCATAAGCAGCGAGGTGCAGAGCGTCATAAGCAGCGAGGTGCAGAGCGTCATAAGCAGCGAGGTGCAGAGCGTCATAAGCAGCGAGGTGCAGAGCGTCATAAGCAGCGAGGTGCAGAGCGTCATAAGCAGCGAGGTGCAGAGCGTCATAAGCAGCGAGGTGCAGAGCGTCATAAGCAGCGAGGTGCAGAGCGTCATAAGCAGCGAGGTGCAGAGCGTCATAAGCAGCGAGGTGCAGAGCGTCATAAGCAGCGAGGTGCAGAGCGTCATAAGCAGCGAGGTGCAGAGCGTCATAAGCAGCGAGGTGCAGAGCGTCATAAGCAGCGAGGTGCAGAGCGTCATAAGCAGCGAGGTGCAGAGCGTCATAAGCAGCGAGGTGCAGAGCGTCATAAGCAGCGAGGTGCAGAGCGTCATAAGCAGCGAGGTGCAGAGCGTCATAAGCAGCGAGGTGCAGAGCGTCATAAGCAGCGAGGTGCAGAGCGTCATAAGCAGCGAGGTGCAGAGCGTCATAAGCAGCGAGGTGCAGAGCGTCATAAGCAGCGAGGTGCAGAGCGTCATAAGCAGCGAGGTGCAGAGCGTCATAAGCAGCGAGGTGCAGAGCGTCATAAGCAGCGAGGTGCAGAGCGTCATAAGCAGCGAGGTGCAGAGCGTCATAAGCAGCGAGGTGCAGAGCGTCATAAGCAGCGAGGTGCAGAGGTCATAAGCAGCGAGGTGCAGAGCGTCATAAGCAGCGAGGTGCAGAGCGTCATAAGCAGCGAGGTGCAGAGCGTCATAAGCAGCGAGGTGCAGAGCGTCATAAGCAGCGAGGTGCAGAGCGTCATAAGCAGCGAGGTGCAGAGCGTCATAAGCAGCGAGGTGCAGAGCGTCATAAGCAGAGCGAGGTGCAGAGCGTCATAAGCAGCGAGGTGCAGAGCGTCATAAGCAGCGAGGTGCAGAGCGTCATAAGCAGCGAGGTGCAGAGCGGCATAAGCAGCAGCGAGGTGCAGAGCGTCATAAGCAGCGAGGTGCAGAGCGTCATAAGCAGCGAGGTGCAGAGCGTCATAAGCAGCGAGGTGCAGAGCGTCATAAGCAGCGAGGTGCAGAGCGTCATAAGCAGCGAGGTGCAGAGCGTCATAAGCAGCGAGGTGCAGAGCGTCATAAGCAGCGAGGTGCAGAGCGTCATAAGCAGCGAGGTGCAGAGCGTCATAAGCAGCGAGGTGCAGAGCGTCATAAGCAGCGAGGTGCAGAGCGTCATAAGCAGCGAGGTGCAGAGCGTCATAAGCAGCGAGGTGCAGAGCGTCATAAGCAGCGAGGTGCAGAGCGTCATAAGCAGCGAGGTGCAGAGCGTCATAAGCAGAGCGAGGTGCAGAGCGTCATAAGCAGCGAGGTGCAGAGCGTCATAAGCAGCGAGGTGCAGAGCGGCATAAGCAGAGCGAGGTGCAGAGCGTCATAAGCAGCGAGGTGCAGAGCGTCATAAGCAGCGAGGTGCAGAGCGTCATAAGCAGCGAGGTGCAGAGCGTCATAAGCAGCGAGGTGCAGAGCGTCATAAGCAGCGAGGTGCAGAGCGTCATAAGCAGCGAGGTGCAGAGCGGCATAAGCAGCGAGGTGCAGAGCGTCATAAGCAGCGAGGTGCAGAGCGGCATAAGCAGCGAGGTGCAGAGCGTCATAAGCAGCGAGGTGCAGAGCGTCATAAGCAGCGAGGTGCAGAGCGTCATAAGCAGCGAGGTGCAGAGCGTCATAAGCAGCGAGGTGCAGAGCGGCATAAGCAGAGCGAGGTGCAGAGCGTCATAAGCAGCGAGGTGCAGAGCGTCATAAGCAGCGAGGTGCAGAGCGTCATAAGCAGCGAGGTGCAGAGCGTCATAAGCAGCGAGGTGCAGAGCGTCATAAGCAGCGAGGTGCAGAGCGTCATAAGCAGCGAGGTGCAGAGCGGCATAAGCAGCGAGGTGCAGAGCGTCATAAGCAGCGAGGTGCAGAGCGGCATAAGCAGCGAGGTGCAGAGC